TTTATTTTCGGACCAAATTGAAAAGTCAGTCTATATCCGGTAGATATGAATGCCTTTGTAAATGCAGCTAGAGAACTGGAGGCTTGAGTTTGGCTTCTTTAGCTTCTGCCACTTTTTTATTGACTAACTGTCAGCACCGCTGGCTTCTCTCTTTATACTGCACTTCTCAGGAAAGATCCAGACATACTTCAGCTCAGAGGAATCACAGAGATCTGTGAGGTATTTTGGGGATCACCTGGTTAGAGGGGAAAGAGTACAGTAGGAGAATGCATGAGTCAGAAAGTGTTTTTCCATCTCAAAACAGCATCTCCTGTATGAGGAGACAGTCATCAGCAGAGAGGTGATGCTTCCCAAGAGGAGGTTGAAGTGTGTGTGTGTGTGTGTATGTGTGTGTGTGTGTGTGTGTGTGTGTGTGTGTGTGTATGTGTGTGTGTGTGAGAGAGACCTTAGCTCATATACGTCAAACTTATAAGAATAACAGTTTGAGTATTTTAAAGAGCCACTTTGCAGTAAAAGGTTTTTTCACTAAGTCAAATATGTCAATCAACTTCAAGCAACATTTCAGAGAAACCTTTTAAAGGGGTTGGGAACATCTTTCCCGTCAAAATTTTTGTAACATCCTTCATGTATCTATACTACAGTTCTATCAGGTGCTGTCAAATGTTACCCTACTGCAGCTGTACCATCACAGGTTTAGGTTTTCTCATCTCTTATCAGCCAAAGGTAAAAACAAGCAGCACGTCAGTCACACCGACTGCGTCAGTGACTCCGAGTTCTGAGAGGAGAGGATTTCATGGCACTGAGCGCCGTCATGAGCATCGTCTCTGTTTGCAAACTAAAAACAACTGCAGAATCCCTCGTGTCACGCTGCGGCTCACTGGACTGACGCCAGCTGAACTTTTGTTGAACATCAGGAGCGGTGGTTTCTCGTCTTTCACTGCAACCATTGTCTTGATGTAAACAAGTGACCAAAAGTTTGTGAATGTGTTTATGTTGTTTTTATTCTTTCTGCTCCAGTTTTTATTTTTCTTAATTCACATTTTATCTTTGTACTCCCCCTCCAGACGCACTCCGCACTCAGAGGATCCTGCTCTATTAAGTGATTCTTCCCTAATTATTTTGTGTTGACAGTTTTCCTTTGTTATCCTCAAGAGTCCTCGGCAATGTTTTCTTTTCTTTTTTCTTGGTTTGTTCTTTTTACAATGCTAGAGTTGTGAATCCTTATTAAGATTTAAACTTTGAATAAAAGGGACTCAAAATACTTTTGACTTGGACAAGTTGATCCTGTAGATTACAGTAGATAAATTAGAATTTCAGACTTTCGTGAAACTGTAAATCTTTGCTTTGACTGTTGCTCTTCCCACCTTCTTCAGTGCAGTTTTACCAAAGAGCTGCTAAGTTGTATTCAACACTTGCACTGGGCTTAAAATGAAGTGACTAAGCACAGATTTATTATTGGACTTATAACTACTTAACATTGGAAAGTAACAACTGTCAGCTTTCCTCTGGAAGTAAAAATGTCTTGCAATAATACAGTGTGTGCATGTGTGTGTGTTGAGGATGCCCATGCTCCTCAACACACACACAAGACTTATAAAGGCTACCAGTGAGCATGGGTAACCTATTTATGATCGGACACACTGCCTCACAAACACACAAACCAGACGACGTCCACAACCTTTCTTTTCTCGACAGATTAATTGGTAAGCCTCTTTTCAACCCTGTCTTCAATCCAACTGTATAAATCAGGTGAAACAACTGGTGTTTCAAACATCTGGCCCTGGTAATGAGTGTTGTGATGATGTACCTATAATCAGAGTGTGTGTTGTTCCCCTAACATCTGTTCATCAGGTCAGCTATCTAAAAGCTGGTTATTTTTAGCTTCTGGGCTGATTTTCCTCTTTTTCCTTTTCCTCCATGGACAACTGAACTGTCTGGATAGTTGTAGGTTTCACCACTGCTTTTGACCTAACAGCTGGCTGATGTTAATTTTCAGTGTGTGGATTTTGGGGTGAGTGTCAGCTCTCCAGGCGTGGGATCATGTTGTAAGACTCTCCCTGTGCTTTTTATTTGTGATTCAGGACATGGAAGCTGCTGCTAAAACCACCTGTGGCAGTGATAGAAGAAAAAAGCATCCTCTGTATTTGGCATGGGAGTGAGAGTAAAGGTTTATATTTATTCTTCAACTCTGCATTATGCACAGATTCCTCTGAGTGTGTGTGTGTTTTTGAAGGCTCCCCGCCTGTTTTTGAATCAAGCAGTGTTGACCTTGTCTGCTGCTACGATGTCAGTTCACTGATTCATGCTGTGACTCTGCCACTGACCCATAGGATGACTCTCAGGGGGGTGCAGAGACAGATTGCATCCATCCATAAAGCGCTGGGCAGATGTGCACTGACACACACATACACACACACTATACACTCAGCAGAATGCAGAACTCAGAGTTTATAGCCATGCTGGCAGAGCTTTGAGTTGAATGCCAACATCAGCATGCTAACGTGCTGATTTTGAGCAGTTATATCCCTAACGTATCATTTTATCCTCTTAAACAAACAAACTACCTCAGATGCTCGTAGAGACATCAAACAAACCAAAATACTGAAAACTGAAATTTGACCTTAAGATGGTGTAAGATTAAACCAAATTTGTCAATCTACCCAACATTTAGAAATAATTTAATAAAAAACAAACTTGAATTTCACATTGGCATTAGTACATAAGGTCACATTATCATCACAGCTTTTATATGGGCTCCATAATTTGCGAGGTGAAAGAGTTTCAAAGTTTTCGGCACGTTAGTGACGTCAAACCGGGGGAAAAAAGCCCAAAGGTAAACTTCTTTGGCAATGTGAGAGGAGTCAGTTACCTTTTTTTCTGGGTTCAACTGCATTTTAAAAAATCCCCTGCACCCAGTAATTTTAGTATAAAAGAGAAAAGTGTTTAATCTCTTGCTGTCAGTAGAGAAAAGATGTGAGAAAAATTTCCCTGAAGAAACCCTAAATGTCTTATCCAAATTTCAAGGTGAACCATCGAATCATTTTAATTGTCAAGATATTTCACGTAGAAGCCCAAATGTCAGCCTCCTTGTGGCACTCGAGGAAAAATCATGAGACCATTAGAGTCATTAGGTTTTATCCTCAGGGGACAATGAAAACAGCAGTGATACTGATGTGGCTAACAACCTAACATTTCTTCAACACATTCAGTGGAGAAGAAAGTGCAAGAGGTGGAAATGTGTCACTGCCACACAAAAATGATCCAGACGGTGCAATGACTCAGACGCAAATTTGTTTGATTTTGTCCTATAAATAGCTCGTCATTCCAGAACATCAGTACTCTTGTGTTTGTTTCTCAAATTTCTCTCTGCTCCTCTCCTGGGCTCCCTTCCACGGAGACACTGGGGTTTGCTGCTCTTTTGTTGTGGTCATTGTGAGTTGCTGCTGGTTGACAGTGCGAGGCGGAGTTGTAGCTGAGAAATGGGTCAGTTTGTGCAGAAGCCTGCAAAGCAGCCTCTCAATGTCTACGTTTTGTCCCCCAGCGAAAAGGGAAAATCGTGCCAGATTTCTACCAGATCCTTCGGAATCAAGCTCTGTAAACAAAATGTTTTCTAGGCCCTGTCAAACACTGTGGGACTTATCCACCCTGAGGCTTAGTAAATGAGAGACAATCTCTGGGGATTTCACTGCAGTTTCATGTGTGAAATAGGAGCGTTGTGCATGAGTGTGAAGAATTAATGTCTGCCATCATTTAAATTTAGCTTTAATCCCATTTCATCCCATTGATGCCGAAGCATTGAAACAGTCAGATATGATTAGGCTTTCAAGAGACTGTTTGCTGAATCCAACTTGCTAGAAAGAGAGTTGAGGCGAAGCCCAGAGCAAAGAGAGAACTGACAACTTTTGGCTCTTTTCACTGTGAGACTCTGAACGCTGCCCATTAAACACAAACCAGCCAATATATAATTCATCCATTTGGCTCCTCCTCCTTCCACTGCCAGCATAAGAGTGCATTTTAACATGATACTCCCCGGTGAAGATGATAGATCCTCTCTCATTTATCTGAAAAACAAACACCCAAGTGTGGAGTTTAGCTTCTGGGGTTTCCGGTAAGCAGTTTGTGAACCCCCCTCCAAAACCCTCCTTCTTTGAACGACTTCTTATCAAGCAGCATTTCTCTTCAGTATGAAAGTGTTCCTAGCCTTTCCTACTAACTGGACAGACAGTGAGTTGTGTTCCAGATCCGATGTCATGTGCTCTCTCACTGCCTGTGAGTTGAAAACAGTGTGTGGGAGAGATGACAGGTTGCCTGAAGGAACGTTAAAGCTTGAGTGATTCATCTCATCTTCGTGCGAGAAGGACCAAAAAGGATTTTTAATTCATGCCCAGCAAAATGCCAAGTCCCCCGCAACACACGCATCAACACGTACCTGATCAAACACGTAATATATGACTTGAGCACCAGTCACTCAAACACCTATTCCTTCTCACATTTCATCGGCACGGCCTGCGCAGATCCGAGGCATAATAATGAGAGCCGAGCAGCTCAGTCTGTTTGTGCGTGGTGATAATAAATTCATTGTGTTTGTCAAAATGGAGCAGACGGTCTCAGTGCTGCAAGGAGAGCAGAGGAGATACAACATGCATGAATTCAGCTGAAGTAAGAAGTTCCCAATGTCCCAGTTCTCCGACTGAAACCACAGATGACTTAGTGAAAAGGCAAATTATCTTAAATATCTTAAACGGATCAGTGTTCCTCTAATGGGGCCTTGTGAGTAGCATTTTTTCTTGTTGTGTCATAATATGTCTCAAGTCTCTGCAGCTTTAAGCACAATATTACTTAAACTGCAGGACCAATACATAATTTACTGCCGTGTTGATGTAATCTTTATGAGCCTGCAGATGATGAATGATAGGCTCCATCTTCTTCCTGTTGTTACTCACACTTCTCTTTTCCTTTTTGTTTCTCTCCTCGCTGCTTCCCTCCCTCTCGTCCTGCAGGCGTATGGTGTACTGACCCTGCCTGCCACAGGCGAGGAGTCAGAGGACCAGGGCCATGATTGGCTCTCCTGGCCCTGGTGGGCGTGCCTTAGTGCCATGGCCGAGGGTGTGGCGGTGGGTCCTGGCTGTTTCTCTGGTTGCCATGATAAACTTGATGCTGCCAGGAAGTAGCCAAGCCTGTCCGCCACGGTGTGAGTGCTCGGCTCAGCTGAGGTCGGTGTCGTGCCAACGGCGGCGGCTCACCAACATCCCAGAGGGCATTCCCACCGAGACACAGCTCCTGGACCTCAGCAAGAACCGGCTCCACTGGGTGCATGCAGGCGACCTGGCACCTTACCCACGGCTAGAGGAAGTTGATCTCAGCGAGAACCTCATTGCCACATTAGAGCCCAATGCCTTCGCCACCCTCCAGAGTCTTAAAGTGCTGAAGTTAAGGGGAAACCAGCTGAAGTTAGTGCCCATGGGGGCTTTTGCCAAGCTGGGAAATCTGACCAGCCTGGACCTGAGCGAGAACAAGATGGTGATTTTATTGGACTACACCTTCCAGGATCTGAGGAGTCTGAAACATCTGGAGGTTGGAGACAATGACCTGGTTTACATATCCCACAAGGTAAGCTCTGCAGCTTCCTGTCAGTCAGTAGGTGAATGTTTTACAGATGAAAAAAGTTAACTTTATTTAAAAAAGAAAATGTCTCCTTGGATTCCAGAGGATCAGACTTTCATACTAAGAGCAGTAGAATATATTCTGCTGTTGAATAGATAAGTACCAAGGAGTCATTTACCCACTGTCGTATCTGTAGCTTTGGTTTAATTTAGGAATATTACATGTATTTCAACGCTTTGGGTAATTCACCTTCTTAATGCTGAATTATTCATTTAACAAAATACTATTATGTGTTAATCCTGAATCAGGGAAAACAAAAGTAATCAATAAGCATGCAAACATGTACAGTATCTCTGTGGAAACAAGGGTGGAGCATTTTGAATTTCAGAGCTCTTTTCACAGTAATTATGGCTCCAAAAACACCTATGATTGATAATGTGTATTATTCAAGAGATGTACTCACTCTTATTATAGCAATGGACCTTGAGTTTCGGTTAGTAGTTAAGTGTGAACACCTTCCTCCGTAAGATTTAACATTGACATTAAGGGGGCTTTCACACTTTGTTTAAACTTCATACTCAGTTTTCAGTGTCCAAACCAAAACCACAGGTGTGAAAACTTTTTATTTGGATCATTCGGACTAATTGCAGGAAGTTGAGACAGCATTAAAAAATAAATAGAAGAAGAAAACGAAGTGTAAGCAGCTTGCAGGATTGTTAGTAATCTTTACCGATGATAATATACATTTACAAACCAATCAATGTCAAGTATAGGTGCAGCCCATGTAGAAGTAGAGGAGCCAAAACTGGATATAATGTAAAAACTGTAACAAAGACATGAACTATGGTTTGGATCATGTTCCAGACTTTCAGTTGTGAAAACAACCTTCACTCCTCTGTCCTCTGTATCTTCCAGGCTTTCTCAGGGCTGCTGGCGCTGGAGGATCTCACAATAGAGCGCTGCAACCTGACATCCATCTCTGGTCAGACACTGTCCTATCTCCGCAGCCTGGTCACTCTTCGTCTCCATCACCTCAGCATCACTGCCCTGGAGGACCAGAACTTCCGCAAGCTCTCCAACTTGCGGGGTCTGGACATCGATCACTGGCCGTACCTGGAATACATCTCCCCTCTGAGTTTCCAGGGTTTGGACCTCCACTGGCTCTCCATCACCAACACCAACATCACCTCTGTCCCCTCCGCCTCCTTCAAGAACCTGGTGCACCTCACCCACCTCAACCTGTCCTACAATCCCATCTCCTCACTAGAGCCCTGGGCCTTCAAAGACCTACTGAGGCTGAAGGAGCTCATCATGGTAAACACAGGGTTGGTGACAGTGGAGCCCCATGCCTTCGGAGGCCTCCGACAGATCCGGGTCCTCAACTTCTCTTCCAACGACCTGCAGACCCTGGAGGAGGGCTCCTTCCACTCTGTCAACAGTCTGGAGACCCTCAGAGTGGATGGGAATCCCCTGATGTGTGACTGCCGTCTGTTGTGGATCCTGCAAAGACGCAAGACCCTCAACTTTGACGGCAGAGTGCCGGTGTGCGCGGGGCCGGTGGAGGTGCAAGGGGTCAGCCTCAGCACCTTCACCGATTCTGCACTCTTCGATCACTTTACATGCCAGAAACCTAAGATTCGCAACCGTAAGCTGCAGCAGGTAATGAAGATGATTACATTTAGGTTTAATACATTTTTAAAAAAATTTAAATCTATAATTATTACTAGTTTTATAACAGAGGTTAAATCTATATATTCTACAAGCATCTTGTGTACATATTTCCTGACTCTCCAACATGTATTAGTCAATACGGTCCTTTTCTTCACCTCCCGCAGGTAATGGCACGTGAAGGTCAGCCTGTGAGTTTTCTGTGTCGAGCCGAAGGAGAACCTGCACCTGCCATTGTCTGGATTTCCCCACAGCGCAGACGGATCACAGCTAAGAGTTCAGGGCGTATCACTGTCCTCCCAAGTGGCACCCTGGAGATCCGCTACGCCCAACTCACTGACAGCGGAACTTACATCTGCATTGCCAGCAACGCTGGAGGCAATGACACCTACTTCGCTACGCTCACAGTGCGTGGCCAGCCGCTGGACGCCGCCTCAGCCTTCTTTCTCAACCGCTCGCTGTACAGCGGTGAGTTCTTGAACGACACAAATCTGAACAGCACACGTGTATTCCTCAAGTTCACCTTGGACCTGACCACCATCTTGGTCTCCACGGCGATGGGTTGCATCACCTTTCTGGGGGTGGTCCTCTTCTGTTTCCTGCTGTTGTTCGTGTGGAGCCGGGGACGCGGCCAACGCAAGAACAACTTCACAGTGGAGTACTCTTTCCGGAAATCTGAACCCGCCACTGGGACCTCCTCGGGAGGGACGAGGAAGTTCAACATGAAAATGATATGAAACAACGCAGCCAGGGGTCCCTCGGGGGAGGCATGAGCACGTCCCAAAAACGTGTTTGACACACGCAAACACACACAGCCACTGACTCGCAAAGAAGTTTGATAACACAAAACAACTTCCCATCCATGGCTCCATTGAAAATTTGAGTGCCCACATAAAAAACTGGAGCCATGATGTGATTTGGTTTAATCTGTGAATGAAAACAAAATGATCCTGATCTCCCTGTCTCTCTGTGGTTATTCAGCATGTGATGAGAAACATGTTTGAGTGGTACTGTGAGGAAGAGTATTGATAGATCGGAAAGAGCTGCTTATCGTGCTTGATAAGAATAATAACATTAAGCATTATAGGAGATAAGTTGTGAATTGGTTTGATCACTGAGCTGTGGAAAACTGGTAGTCGTGTTATTTTGATGAGGAAATAAAAAATCATTCCTTCAAATCAAAACTCTTCTCTATTGTGTTGTGTGCATTTTAAGAGACACATGTAGAGTTGGTAACTATGCTCTTGTTAAGAGTCGTGCATGTAGAGTTTAATTTGAGAGTTAAGTTGTAAATTCATTTCTCTAAATAAAACACATGGTTTTCAAATACATTTTTGAATAAGTTTTCTATAGAAGAAACATTGAGTCGAACAAACAGCTTTATCTAATCTGACCACATCTGAGCAGAGAGGACGATTGCATTGGGTCAAACACTTTATTAACATTATCATGTGTCAATTATTTCAAAGAACAAAAGCTCAGGGGATGAAGAAAATCATCTGAGTGTAATATCTTGTAAGAAAGAATAGATTGGGATCATTCACCTAAATGACAATCCGTCAAAAAAATTGGCCTTTTCTTTGCGAGATTTTTCAAGAACATTCGCTGTGTGAGTTTGGGACGAGCGCACTAGCCGTGAGCTGCTGTGGCTGCCCGTGGCCCGGAGGGTTTGGTTAGGAAGTCAAGACCGACGTGCACGGGCTGCTACAGTAGCCATAGCAACCAATACGATAGAGAGCAAGGGGGGACAGGGCATGGTGGCCATGGGAGGGTTGCTCGGTGGAAAAGGGGGAGGGTTGAAAAAGAAGTCAGCGTGACCTCTGCTTCCCCTCCCTTAGATCACAAGCCCCGATCGTGCTCTTTCATCAACAGGAGAGGGGCGACCCACTGGCCTCCGCTTCCCTGTCCCTGCCCTCTGCTGTGTTGGTGGGCATCTGACCTTTCCAGTGCTGCCAGGGGGGAGCAGCCTGGAGAGTCGGGTCACACTCAGAGGCAGATAGAGGACACACAGCAACACTATAGAGGTGTTCGCCTACACAGTCATCCAAGTAGTGGAACCCACACATAGCAACACGTGTATAGCACCTTTTCTCAGGAAAAGTGAAATAACTAGCCAACAGAGCATGTATAACAACACATGCTGTGTTTACTACATTCCAGCAATACTGTTTGTAGAACCATGAAGCCAAATCAGAGAGAACTGAGGTAAATCTGTGAGTGAAGAAACAAAGCCATAGAATCTGTATGTTTATTTTTATACTAGTGTGTGTATGATTTAGTTATATGATAATAATTATTGCCACTGCCATCTTACAAGCTGTCACGATGATCAAAAGACCATCTGCTGTCACCGGGCCTGCTCAGCGCTGTACCTCGTAACACGCGCACTCGCACAAAACCAACATCAAGGTTATTTGAATTGGAGGGAACAACAATCACCGTCACACATGAATAAACATACAAATTGACAACACGCCGCAGCCCCATCGCAGAGTGTCCCCCCAACTGATCTCTGTCTGCCTCTGAGACGGCAAATGCGCAAATGTCTCTGCCTCCCTAGCCCAGTGCATTCCCCCCTCCTCACCCCCACCCCCTAAACCCCCACCACCACACGCCCCCACTGGGTCCTCCTTTGGGAGGGGTCCCTGGCTGGAGACCGAGGATTCAAATGTAAATGAAGTCGTGTTAACCCTACCCACGCCATGTGCATCGTATAGTGGAGAGTAGTACTGTGGTTTTAAAACGCAACAACAAAAAAAGGCAAAAAAAAAATTCTTTGACTTGTTCCTTTGTCTCATGTTTGTCCTCCATTTTTTTAACCTCTGTTGTTGTTCTCTGTGACCTTTGCCCCTTTAAGGCTCCTTGTCCTCTGTGAGGGACTGTTCTGTTCTCAAGACCCAATAATTTGAGTTCACTTGACCCCCAATCCACTGAAACCAGGAAGAGCAATATCGAGATCAAGAAACATCCTACAAACGTTTCCCAGCACTTCTTTAGTCGGTTATATCCTATGTTTAACGGTGCCACAACTAAAAGTTACTTGACAGTTTCTCAGGATCTAAGGAAGGATTTCACACACTAAGCTTTTTACTTGTTTAGACTGAAGATTAAAACAAACCTTACCTCACCTGGCATGTAAGGCCTTTGCACACTAGAAACATTTTTGTCATGCAATAATTTGCACATTATAAAAAACCTGTATCCAGTCATGCGGCCTTTTAAATCCGATTTTGTGGCTCCTGTTTTTAGACGAGGTGCAGTCAGATATTTAATGATTTATTTAATATGTTTGTCACTAAAAAGAATACCTCGTAAACTACTTGCAGCTGGGATCAAGCAACAGGTAACCCAACTCCTGTTTAAGAAAATGAATCAACCACATGAGCAGCCACTGAATGAAAAGCTGAGACGGGACCTCGCTATTTTGTGCCATTTATTTGTCGCGCCCTTCATGTACAAAGGCCTTTAATCAAAATGTTATTTAAGATTGATGTAAACTAGAGATGTAAAATTGCATTCCACCAAAATGTAGAATATTTTTTTCATTAAATGCCGAATGACAATAGAAGAAAGACTCTTCCATGTGCATATTAGGGGTTTCTAACAGTCTCATTTCACTTTAAAGGGTGACACTATTAAAAAGTTGATCCATTGATCTAAAGTACACGTCCAACACAGTTTAAGTGGTTTGGGATTAATTTGGCCCATGTTTAAGTGAGTCTCAACTCTTAAAACTTTTGCAAAATAGATCTTGCAATCTCCATTTTTGTCCCTGGTGAAGAATGATGAAATCCCGACTTCTGTGTGAGGATGAATAACTGAACACGCTTTAAAAATTTATAAGGCAGAGTGAGATTAGATGAATACATTGGCCTGGTTTATTTTTTTTACACCACTTTTAACAGTGTCGACGGACGGTTTTTGGCTCGTTCGGTGTTGAGAACAGGACGCTGCCCTCACAGATGTTTCCCCTCCCTGAGCCAACCCGCTGTTTTATGTTTCCATTCCCTGGTATTTCTCAGTGGAACGTAGGTTTAGAAGACAACGAGAATGTCTGTAGTGATTGTTGATGGTGTTATTGTGTAAGCATCAATCACAAATGTAAGCCTAGATGAGGGTGTGTTTCATTTTATGATCTTCTCCTTCTCCCTCCTTCCTCCTCCCCTCTGTAATGTTCCCGTCTTCTCTGCATTTCTTCCCGACCCCTCGTTGTCCCTGTTCACAGTATTAGGCTGGAGTATGGTTGTGTGGTAGTAGACACGTGTTCTGTGTGGTCGGTGAGTTGGTGTTGTCGTGCTATGATTTGTTGCTCCTCGTGGTGCCATCAAACATGGAGCATCGGTTGGACCAGTGGAGACAAAAGAAGAAAGGGGTGACCCAGGTTCCTAAAAAAAAATTTTAAATTTAAAAAAGAATGAACACTGATTCCCATTTCACACCCTACCCATTCCTACAGACCATTTCTGGAACTTTCCCGCTCTGCACAGTGCCACTCTGGGATCGTTCTCTACATATGAAAACCCATGGACTGTAATGTATGTATTTTCTCTGCTGACATCTTGTCACTTTATCTATCACATGTAGAAAGGGGTCTTCGGTTTGGGTTGTTCTGGGGCCTACCATAACTATCTGCAGTCCATTTGATGAACACTAGCCTTTGGTCAGGGTTTGGAAATGAGCAATTTTATGAAGTCCTTAAAAGTTGAAGGCACACCTTTTGCTTCCTACTAAATGCTCCTGCTACTTAAATTATTAAAAAACGTTTTTGGAATACGTAAAACATTTAATTTCTTCAGCAGTACTCATCAGAAGAAAACGGTGCCACGTCTTTTGCAGCAAAGCAGACTCTTGGTGTTTGTAGTTGCCAGCGAAGAGCTTGAGCCCGTATTCTTCTCCTCTGCCGTGATTCTTGAGAAAGTAGGCTAAGCAATCCCTCCTCTACCTCCTGTGGTTCGACCTTGCCTCGGGTTGGTGTAGCGTAGTCTAGACGCCCCATATACAGCAACAGCAGCAGCAGTACTATTAGGGATGCCTTCCACGGGGGGGGGGGCGCTTCTGATATCCAGACCAAAATAAGACAAACCCTCACATGCTGACAAACATGGCATCCTAACCAGCCAAACATGAATGATTCATCTGTATTTGTAATTTTTAAGGGGGCTTTCTAAAAATGTTAGCCTCACCTTTAGGATGTCGTCTCTACAGCCTTCTGTCACTCCTGACTCCATATTAGCCCTAAATTAATCCATCTCTTACTCAAGATCCTACAGCTGCTGTTTGATTGGATTAGACTTGAGATGAATTATCCGAGCTGAGAGGAGCAATAATGGGATGACTGAGGAGTGAGCTCGACTGACTGGGTGATTACTTGGCTTATTAGGCTCATTTCCATAGCATACCTCTTAGAAAAAATGGGTGTCGCGCAAAAACTGGAGGCTGAATTCATGCTGTTATCTCAGCTCTTCCACATCTGTTCAGTAGAAATATATGTTAATACGACATGTCAGGTTTCATCCGACATGTAGCGGAGCATTGCTGAAGGATTGTTTTATTTAGAACACCTTGGACAGTGACTGCTCCATCTTAACCTTGACCAGAGGAAGTGCGAGTGTCCACCCCCCCACCTCCTTTCTACGTGGCAATACTGACCCCCAGTGCTCAAAGGGAGCAATGGCAAAAACTTGGGACCATACTGTTGCAGCTGATGCACCGGTAGGAAAATAAACCAACAGCTCTGGGTCTCATACAGTGAAACACTGAAGAGAACAAATTGACTGTTAGTTTCTTGGGTCAGTGCTTCGCTGATTGTCTTATAGCCATAGTGTGGTGATCTCCTCTGCGTTCTGGGTGTCACAGAGCAATGCTTTGCTCTCGGCGCGCCTGTGTGGTCATGCAGAGGCGTTATCGGGACAGGCCTCACATCTGGTCAAGAGCAACAAACCTGGCCTAGTTCTAGACAAATGATCCCCCCCGACTAAAGTATCACAGCATAATTTTTTCTCTGTACAGGACCGAGAACTGGTTGCCAACTGATCGGTTCTTTCTCTCTTGTGGTCTTAGCAGGTTTAATCTATGCATGCCTTTTGTAAACAGTGATTGGTCTTGCCAAACTCTCACCTGCACTTGTAGAGAGAGCGATGGGTGCCATTGTTGCTGGCCATGGGACTGGTGGAAAAAGAGCATGTGAGGCCATCCAAATGTGTTGCACCTGCATTCACGGATACTTAAATAAGTATTCATCTCACGA